CAGGGCAAGGTCCTGCAGCCACCCCAGGTCTCCAGACAGGGCCCGGTGGTTGTCAGAGAGGTCCAGATGCATCAGTGATGTTCCCCGGAAGGGGTGTCCACCCAGGCCCTGCAGACCACAGCCAGCCAAGGACAGATGGGTCAAGGTCTCCACACCCCTGATGTCCACACAGGGAGGACCCTCTGCCTCACCTGCAAGGTCTGGCTGGGGGCAGAGGTCAACCTGGTTGCGGCTGAGGTCCATGGTAGTGATATTCCTGGTGTGGGTGAAAACCCCGGGAGGAAGTGCCCGCAGCCTGTTGGTGCTGAGGTTGAAGAGCTGCAGGTTGGACAGGATGTCCCCAGCACCCACCTCCATCCCCAGCTCCACCAGCCGGTTCTGGCTGAGGTCCAGCTCTGTCAGCATGGCTAAGGGATTGTCCTCCGACAGGTGAAATGCCTCCAGGCAGTTCTGGTTGAGCTTCAGGTGGGTCAGGGAGGGCATCTGGGCCAGGAAACCCTCCGGCAGGTACCAGACCTGGTTCTGGCTCATGTCCAGGAGGCGCAGGGAGGAGAGGTTGATGTGGCAGAGCTCGTCCCAGAGCCTGACCGTGGTGATGTTGGTGGAGTTGCCATCGATGATCAGGAACTGCACGGTGACGTTGGCCAAGGACGTGCCGTTGGGGAGGCGCTGGTAGAAGCTCAGCTCGTTGTCCTGCAGCAGCAGGGAGCGCAGCTTGCTCTGCCGGGGCAGCACAGGGAAGAACAGGAGGCGGTTGTGGGACAGGTCCAGCACCTCCAGCTCAAAGAGGTCATCGGTTTCCACAGCCAGAAACCACTCAATGATGTTGTAGCTGACATTGAGCACCCTGAGCTGGGTCAGGCCAAACTCCACCACACACGGGAGGTAGTTGTAAGCTACACTGAGCCTCTGCAGCCTCTGCAGCCCTTCAAAAGCTTGGTCAATCTCAAAGATGTAGTTCTTCTCCACATTCAGCTCCAGCAGTTGTGTCAGGTTTGTGAAGATGGACGAGTCCAGCCTCATGATGACGTTCCTGGCCACGGACAGGGACTCCAAGGAAGACAAGTTCCAGACTAAAACTGACACCATGTCCTCAGTGAGGTGGTTTCCAGCTAGATCCAGCGTCCTCAAGGCGGGCAGAGCAGAAAGAGCAGCTGCTGTCAGTGAGTAGTTGGTGAAGAGGAGGTTGTCTGCCAAGGAGAGCACCTGGAGGCCTTGGCTGCTGAGGAAGGCGCCTGGCTCGATGAGCTCCAGACGGTTCCTGAGCAAGCTGAGATGACAGAGCTGGTGGTACCGTAGCAGAGAGGCATTGCCCAGGACCTGGATAGTGTTGTCATCAAGCAACAGCTCCTTGGTATCACCTTGAAGATTTCCTGGGATGGAGCTCAGCCATCTCCCAGTGCAGTCTGCAGTGCTCTGTGCCTAAAGCAAGAAGATATATAGCACCACACTGAGAGGTGGGAGACGAGGAGGCAGAAGCTTGGGGTGCTGAGTGAGGATGGAGGACATGGCTCTATGGTTAGAGCCCTGGCACCCCAGTCCACTCCAAGCCAGTAGCTGGGATGGGGAAGGTCTGGAGATGCTGAGGTGCCTGGGCATTGTCAGGCAGGACCAAGCAGTCAAGGGGTGAGGGTTCACAGGGGAGGACTTACAAGCTTGCAGCTGCCAGGAGATGGTGCCCAGGCTGCAACTGCCCCGCTTCCCATTCCCACTGCCAGGAGAAGCAGGAGCAGGGAGAGACCAGGGAGCGGGGCCTCCATCTCAGCGGCGGCACTCCTGTGGAGATGGAAATGGGTGAGGAGGGCAGGAGGTGCCAGGTGACCTGGGCCACCACGAGCTGCCCATGGAGAAGTAGCAAAGGGCCCTGGCACCGAGCCCTCACACACCCCAGCAGGAGCCCCCATGGGGGTCCCCTAGTTTCAGGCTGGAGGCAGGAGAAGAGCAGGGCAGGGAGGTGGAAGTTCAGTTCACACACAGGGCAGGGCACGTGGGAAAGGCACAGTCAGTGCTCCACAGCTGCTTGTGAACACCACCGATCTGTATCCCTCCAGCAGAGGTGTCTCCCTCACCAGGGCTTGTGTCCCCACACTTGGCACCAAACACTCCCCCAGGGGACACCGACCCAGTGCCCACCGAGTGCCCCCAGCACCCATCCCTGCCGGGTCCCTGCTGGGGAAGCAGAGACTCTCCAGCACGAGCTGCCCCATTACTAACTTGGTGGCACCGGAGCTGACGGCATTTGCATCTGGGGAAAAGCTGAAACTCAGGCAAATGAGCAGTGAGGGCTCGGCGAGGGCTCGGCACGCGGCGCTTTCACACCTGCCACTGCTTGAAGGAGAAACAGGAGGTTATTTTGGGCAGTACAGGTACCCAGAGCCTCACAGCACAGAGGGAGCAGGGGCACATCCTGGGCTGTCTCCTTCCTTGGGACAGCCACAAGCGTTGAGCTGGTGCCTTCTCAAAGCAGTGCTAGTAATCTGGGGGGATGGAGGCTCCCTTCCCTGGGCTGGAGCTGATGCACAGCTCCTTGTGCCCTATCAAGCTCTCAGTCCCCAGCAGCACCTTGTACCCTGGCACGGTGTCCTCACGGCACCCAAACCCCAGCGGCTTTGGCTGTGGCTCCTGAACCCCTCAGCAGAACTCCTGCTTTCCTTAACCCAGCTCAGCCTCTCTTTGCCACACTGCGTTGGCCTCTCCCAACACCAGAAGCACCTCCATCCTCCACCTCCTTCCTGGAGTTGCAGGGACGGCACGTGCCCAGCCAGGAGAGCGGGTAACAGCCCCAGCAGGAACCCCTTGCCCGCAGCCCCACAGCGGAACCCACATCCAAGAGCTTTGGGAGCACCCAAGGTACTCCCCACGCTGCCTGCCAGCCCTGACACCAACCCACACAGCCCTGGCTCTCCCAGCGTGAGTGTTAGCGACACGCAGCCACCACAGATCCTCCACCTGGCATGGGGCGCTCCCCAAAACCCCAGCAGGGTCTTCCTCCAGCACAGGTACTGGGGGGCAGCTACTCACCGCGTGGGATTTGGCACAGTCCATCCTGCTGCCCGTGGCCCCTCAGCTGCTCTTGGGGGGCTCTTGGGGCCAGGGGTAGGGGCGACCTGCTGGGTCTCTCTCCCACCCACTTTCTCGCAGAGCACCAATATAGCCTTTGCGGAAGGAGCCAACGGAAACTGCAGTCACATGGAGGCAGAGAGCGTGGCCGAGCTCTTCGCTTACTGATCTCAGCACTTACAACTCGGGTCATGCACTCACACACAGCTCCCCAGCAAGGAGGAACCTCAGGGGCCGGGCAGGGGTGCCAGGGCCAACCAGCCCCACCAAGGCTCATGCAGTTCCTGGCTGTCCCACTGCTCCCAGGGACAAGCCAGCACTGGGGACAAGTCTTGCATTGTGACTCTCTGCACAGCATGAGTTTTGGGTCGCAGAGATAGTGACTGGAGGGGGTTCCAGCCTGTGGAGCCATGTCACCAATCCTGGTTGGGTGGCATCCCTCTGCATGGCAGCTATTCCCACTGTGTCCCTCCAGACCCTGCTCTCCCCCCCTGCCCAGCACAGGGACTCTGACAGGAGCAGAGGGATGTGTGTCCCACAGGGGGAAGAAAGCACCAACACATCCTGTTGCATCCCAGGCCATGGCTGGACATGTCCTAGGTGTGGAGTCCCCACTGTGGGATGCTCTTTACGTTGTACAAGTGAGAATCAGGATGTCCCCAGAGTTTTGGGTCTCCTGAGACTGCTTGGGATTTCAGCAAACCCAGGGCAGAGATCAGATCTGTCCAGACACAGGGACCTGCCGAGTGCTGATCCCCAAGTGAAAACCAGCGTAAATGTCTTTTCCCACAGCTGCCAAGAGATAAAGATCACATTTCCAATGCAATGTGAGCCAGTAGCTTCCCCTCCTCCTCACCACCACCTGCTTTCCAACTGCCCACCCCATCCTCCCCTCTCCCAGGGTCCTCTCACACAACCAAGTCCCCAGCAAATCCAGCCACTGAGGAGGAAACAGTTTGCCTGGATCTGCCTAGCTAGGGAAGGGTTCAAAACTATGGAGAAAGGTTTCAGCCCTGCAGCAGGACCCTGTCCAGGAGGATCAGCAGGTTCTGCTCTGCAACATCCATGCTTCATGTGCCATGGAGTCACCAGTGGGATATTCTGCAGTCAGGAGATGAACTGTGTTATCGCAGCACACTGGGACCCCTGAGGGACATCCCAGCCAGGGATTCTTCTGCCCAACCACGTGGCCCCCAAACTACTGCAGCCAGCACAAAAGACCCCAGAGATATTTCTCCTGTCCCCTAAATTTCATTTCTTCTCTGGGAGGAGGCTGAGCTCTCACTCACGAAAAAGCCCTGGGGTTTCATTTCCTCCATTTTCAAGGAAGTTTGTTGTATAAAAATCAAGAAGGAGAAGAGAGAAGCAAACAGGAGTGGCAGAAGCTCACAGCAGGGCAAAATTCCCATGGCATTGCTCAATGGCACAGGAAGGGCTGAGACCAGCCCTTGATTACAAACCCACTCCTCATCCCAAACCCTACCACGAGCCCATCCCACACCCAAAGCCCTCACCAGGTGCTTGGAGATGTGGGAGCTGGCAAGGAAGGAGACACCTGCAGCTGCAAAACTCAAGCATCCTCAGCCATGACCGTACTCCACTCACTAGATCTGGACGCTCCTTGGAGATCTTCTGATAAGATTCCTCCTTGTGGTGCCACCAAACAAGGTGATGCCCTGAGGGTCAAACCTGCAACCCAGCAGGAACTGGGAGAGAAACAACGTGATCCATCCCCTGCTCCATCCCCAGCCCATCCCCAAAGCCAAGGCAGTGTAACCCCCTCTCCCCAGCAGTGGGGAAGGGACCCCCAAGCAGTGCTGCTCCCCACGGAGCAGCCAGAGCTCGGCGCTGGGGCAGCTGCCAGCAGGGCTGCACTTCACACTTTCCCCACATCCTGCAGCCGGATGGTGCTGAAAGCATCTCCAAAGCTGCTGCTTGGTCCCCTCCTTTTCCTCCCAAGTGGCATCACACCCCCACCCAGTCCTCCCAGTGAGGACTGGATGTGTGATTTGAGGGGATCAGCACGGTAAAGGGACAGGGATCGAGCTGCCAGGAGCTGCTGCTCTGATCAGCTCTTCAGGAAGCTCCAACAGCACAGGTGGTTTGCACTGAAGGAGATTCAGCTGCTTGGAGCTGTGTCCACATGTGCATCTGTAATTCCTGCAGCTGTAGGAGAGGACTGGGAATCCCCATGTTTCACACCCAGTGAGCTTCCTCATGCCTCCCACCTCCTCTTCCCTCCAAACCATCTTTTTCCCTTAACAGCCCTCGAATTGTCAAGCACAACCTGAGAGAAAAGTTGGAGGGAGAGAGCAGGCTCCTGGTCCCTCTTGGAATGCTGCACCTAGCACAGGACCCTTGGGAAAAGAAACAGCAAGTCCATCGCTGCACCTGTGTTTTCCTGCAGGAAATGGGATTCATTCCAGAGTGGAAGCACCAGGAGGAGGAACTCATGGTTCACACAGCAGCAGGAGCAGAGCCTGGGGTGAGTGGGGGCAAAACGAAACAGAAATGTTTCTCCATGGGCTTCTTGGAGTCCCAGTGAGATGGAGAACTGCAGAGAATCAAATGAGTGGTTCTGCAAGGGCTGATGGTGCCAAGTGTCCTTCACCTATTTCATTTAGGCACCTGCTCTGGATACACCAAGGGAAACTTGAGGTCCGTGGTACCCCAGAGGCTGCAGGTGGTGGGAGTTGCTCTAATTTAAGATGAAGTCTGAACGTAAAAAAGAAAACAGATCATTTGTTACACAGCCAAAAGAGAAAAGCTAAAATGGCCAGCTCAGTGCCTGAACCTCAAACTACAGCTCTGGGATTTCATCTGCCTGAATTTCACATGGGAATCCACCCAGTTTAACCCCAGGGAATGGCTAAGGATGCAGCCAGTCCTGATGCATTGATGTACACGAGCATGACATCTCTACAGCCCCAGCATAGCAGCTGAACTGGAGCTCTGCAAGAAGCACAGCTCCTCTCAGTCTGGTTCTTGCAGGGGAAACCAAGCAAGAAAAATCAGCACTTTACAATCAGCTTCAAGATCTTTCCCCTCCCAGCTGCAGCCAAAGCACCTGCCTGCTGCTTTCCCTAGCCACACGTGGGTGTCAGCCCAGGAAACATGCGCCAGCACTGACATTAGTCCCTACAGCTCCAGACTCTGGTTGTGCAGTGACTTGTGTGCCTAGGACCCCCTGCAG